ATCATTTTTTTTATCATAACTTAGTTATTTATAATTGTTGTGTAGCAGTATTGTTCCATACACATTGGCATGTGGCGCAATGGTATTCTACTTGACTGCCATACTGTACCCCACACTTGGCACCCGATCATGCCACTGCTTGGCGACGTCGAGCGTGGCAATTGTGAGGGGAGAGCATATAAATGTTTATAGGCTACTTTGCATTCATTAATTTCCTCATCTGCTTTATTATTTGTACAACGGTTAATGATAGGATTAATAAGGAAGCTAACAATAAAATTATAATAAACCTAATCAAACCAAGTTGACTGGTGAATTCTAAGTTATCTTTGTTAATTCTATATTACCACTTTAGTAAAACCTCCATTGTTGAGAGAAACAGATAAAATTCAAGTAAACGACTATAAAGCACGTTTATAAAAATACTTACTGTACTCATCAGCGCCAGCGGCTGGTGGTGGCTCCTGCAGGTATGAGCAGGTGAACCCAAGAGTGGTGTCTCCGCGGACCAGGTCTACCTCGAACTGAGGCCGTGACCTCATCTCTGCAAACTCCTGCTTCTCTGGCTGCACCTCGCCTTCCAAGTCGTCAGAGTCCACTGTGTGGTTCACGTTGAAAGTGATTCTGACACTGTAGAAATATAAAAACAAAAATTAAATTACTTTGATCATTATTTCAATCATACTCTGTACTAGAATTCTAAGTTCTGGTTAAGATTTATTAAGTTATTTAAATATCCTTTGCTTTTTTAGACATTGTCTTAAATTACCATCTTATTTGAGTTGAGTTCATAATAACTTTGAAAATAGATGTAGCAGTATTGTTCCATACACATTGGCATGTGGCGCAATGGTATTCTACTTGACTGCCATACTGTACCCCACACTTGGCACCCGATCATGCCACTGCTGGGCGACGTCGAGCGTGGCAATTGTGAGGGGATAATTTAAAGAATTTTCAAGTACATTCCTGTTAGTGTTCCCATTTATAAACATGTATGAAGGTGAATAGTACATTTAAAAAAAGTAAAATGTTTTCTCAACTCAAGTTTTTTAATATTTTTTCACAAGGTGCTTATTTAAAATCCTGTTGGTTTTATACTTACAGTTCATCCTTAAGCTTCTTGGATAGCACAACCTCAGCACCATCTCCGCAGACAACAAAACCTTCAAGTTCTGTCGGTAGCACCTTCACTTTCTGTGCCTTGCGCTCCGCCACAATCTCCTCAGTCAGGAACTCAACAAGCTCTCTTTCACCTAGAAATTGTTATTTTATTTAATGAATAATGTTGAAAAATCTTTGGGTAACTAATCTATCATATTATCCAGGTAGTTTATTTTTTTACTTTTCTGCTCATTAACTATATTCGATTTTTCTCTAATTATTTAAATACTTGTTTTAAGTTTTATTACACATTTACGTTTTCCAATAGTTAAAATTCACATAATACAGATTTAAGTTTACAAATGATATATTTTCTACTATATACCACAGCTTTTTCTGCCCTGAGCAAATGTTTTATCAGTCAAGATAAACTTTTCAGCAAGAATGATGCAACATTTACATAAGATAGCAATGGGAACAAAGTTGTAACTTTATAAGTTTGTATTTGGTTTAATAATAGAAAAAGTTTGTTGGATCAGAATAGATCGAGGTATTCCTCGTAGCGCTCCCGTTTTGAAGCGCGCCCATCTAAGCGCTCCCAAAAGGAGCGCTTTGAGAAATGATTAAAAATATTAAAATTTATTTCCTCGAAGCGCTCCCATGATTAAATTTCGGATAGAGTTGGGACTTTACTAATTGAATTTATCGATAAGAACTAGGTAATAAGTAGAACACATTGTTATAATATACAACTAGCGGCCTGTCCCGGCTTCGCACGTCTTTGGTAATTATTATTTTTTTGTTTTATTGTATTTTTTTTTTGTTTTATTGGCCGCTAATAAAACGGGAGCGCTTAGATGGGCGCGCTACGAGGAATACCTCAATAGATCAACTTTGTTTAGAAGTCATTGCCCTTTTGAGGGACTAGATTACACTACAATTTCTATATCAATAAAAATTACTTGTAAATCAATATTAAATACTATAACAATAACAGGACTATTGTAGCCAATAAACCTGAAATAGTGGTGATAGAACGACAAGTACTCCGCACGATGATAATCGATGTCACCATCCCCCATGACGAGAACCTCGTGAAAGCTGAGAAAGATAAACAAATAAAATATCTAGACTTAGCTCACGAGGTTGTCGACATGTGGAGTGTGGATTCGGCTATCATAGTGCCGATAGTCATGTCGGCCAATGGGTTACTCCCTAAAAGCCTCGACATCCATCTTAGGAGGCTGGCGTTAGGTGGATGGATCAAGGGCCTGATACAGAAGGCAGTTCTCCTAGAAACGGCACGTATCGTGAGGAGGTTTCTGTCTCTGGAACCGTAACCACCAGTAGCTTGGACCATTCTCCCACTACTGGTCGGCTCCTATTTTTATATTTTTAAACATTATATTATGTAATTTATAGAGAATTTTAAATAAATATATGGAAACATTCTCTACATTTCAAGATATTTGCTAGCTACATAATAATTTAATAAAAAAACTATATTATTTAATATGATAAAAAAATGTCCCAAGTTTTTATGCAAGACCATGACACAGGTCTGTGATCTTGGATGTGAACATGGTTATATTGTACCCTGCAACTGGCTCTGAACTCCTCCTGATTGGAGGGCACAGTGTGGCAATTGTGCAGGGAACACAAATAGAACTAATTGGACTAATTCATTACAAAATTAGAAATACTATAATATGTAAGGAATTATTATAGATATTTTTATGAAATAAGCTTACCTTGTTTAGGAAAATTAAATGTGGAGGTGTAAGGAAGGGAACGGGAAACAAGGACTCACCGAGGGGCCTAGGTTTAACTTGGGAAGTCGATGGTTCAACTTCAGTTTCTGGAGAATAATACAGTAATATATTTAAATGATCAGTTCAAATGTGTGTTAAGGTATGAGAGGAACTTATGGAAATACATGCACCTAAGATTAAGTTTCGGCGTGATCTTCGCGTGTGGTGCAATCACATAACCTCTAAATATTCAAGTGAAATAGTACTGCAAATTACCTTTAGTGTGGAGCGCTTTCAGACCACAACCGCAGCTGCATGTGTTGGAGTGATTGTGCAAAAGGGTTGAAGTGGTGGCAGACCCATCCAATCTCTTGGAACAGCTCATGTGCCATATTCCTCTGGTGAAATCACGTTTTACGGGAGCTTGGGCGCGATTCACTAAGGCACCAGTCAACGTTGTGTTTTTGACGCAGTTTTGTATTAGCCGGGTCGCGGTCCTTCCTAAACCGTTCATTTTTCTGAAATCCTTGTAAATGTCACTTTATTTCTTGAAATTATTCGAAAAGATGTCAGAAGTTACAATGGAACGCTAAGCCGGTGTCTTAAAATTGCCGTTTCAATAAATTCCAGAAGAGGTTGGAAAGCGAAATTATATTTTTAGGTCTTGCAAGGTTTTGGTACATAGTCGAGTAGGAAAATATGGAAAAAAAACCGGAAATGAAAACTACGTTGGGCAGCACTAATAAAATTGACATTTCACTTTAGTGACATTGACAAGACAGAAACTCAGAAAGTCAGAAATCTGTTTCTGTCGTGTCAGTTTCACGTGTGTTTAGAAATTGAATTGAATTTCCTAGTTACTTTTGTGGTTAAAACTCATAAAAATGCCTAGAAAACGTAAACTAGAAACAAAAGATTCTAACACCCAGAAATCTTTACCTGTAGAAGTCGTAATAGAAGACGTAACTACACATCCTTTATGTTTGCACGGGCCGACGTTGTTATTCTCTACTGAAAAAGGCCGATATTTCGCTTGTGCCTCGTGTAGGAATAAGGAATGCACCGTACACATAGACGAGGAAGATTGGAAGAAGGAAAGTGTGAGGAAACGGAATGAAAAGTACTACAGTTTAATTCCGAAGATTGATAAGGCTGCAGCATGGAGCAACTTTGTTGAGGTTAGTTTTGTATATTATTATAAACAGTAGTAACGATAGAAATTATTATATAAGTAGACAATACTTTTCACTGTAGTCATTGTATAAGATAAAGTGTAAATTGAATAGAATAAATACATTTAAATAATGTTGTGTAATTTGTTAAGGCATTTTTTTATCAACCTACCATTCATCTTTCCAGGTGAAAGCCCGTCACTATGTAGACAGAGCATTCTGTAGTACTTGTGAAGATCTCTACTTAGTGTCGAAACCTTCCAAGAAACATGCAAAGGACCACAGAATCATCACTCCACTAACAGATGAGCAGCTCGCACGTCCCACTACTTGGTTGCCAATGTTGGAGAATGATTCCGTTGAAGCTCAGTATATGTTCACAAAGAAATCAGTCACTACTGTCTTTGGAATACTTAAGAATAATAATATAAGGTAAGATTACACGCTAGTTGATTGAATATCATAATTATGATGAATCAATTAATTACTACTATTAAAAGTGCTCACACATAATTTTAAAGTGGCTTTTGTTTGTATTATAAAGTAATTTCTATTTTATTTCACACAAGAAGACAATTTGGTGACTCTTGAATAAATTTTACCCAATTTGATTCCAAGTAGTCAGTTATTATTTAACTGCCATCCACCTAAATGAGATAAATTCTTAATAGCAAACTTAAAAAAAACATTTCAATTTGCATTGTAATTTTATATTTTAGCAACATCCTCTGTATCGGAACACCCTCCATCCACGAGGAAGCTGAATCCCGATCAGACTTCAACTCCATCCTATTGGACTATGACAAGAGACACTGTAACTTTTATCCACCGAACAAGTTCATCTGGTATAACATGTTCAACAACTATATGTTCAATGGCAATGAGGATGAGAAGGTGCTTAAGAAATTCTTCAAGAAGTCCAAGTAAGAAAAGTATTTGTTTTTACTTTCAATGGAGTTAAAAATAATCTGCAGTATTTATACAACTTTGCAAAATTATAATAATAAGATGGGGTAGGGGTTTGACGCCAATGACGCCTATGAAAATGATTGGCCACAGATAGTGAGCTTTACGAAGAGACAACTGCTTTGCAGTGACACAACCATGGCTAATAAATGAATGAGGCAGATGTAGAAGTTTTAATGTGAAACTCACAATTAAGTATCATATTTATTTTTCTTAGTGGATATAATATAAAGCATATTATCAAAATTTAAAAACATTTTCTTTGATTATTTTTTAAATGTAATAAATTGAGTTTTATGACTACTTCATTTTTGTTCTCCAAAAGAGTGTTTGTTATTGATGATATATTTGAACTTTCAGAGAGGGAGGCATCTGTATAGTAATGGACCCTCCATTCGGTGGACGAGTTGAACCTTTAGTTCAAACTTTGAAGGAGCTGACAGAAACCTATAAGAATGTCTGCGACAAGCCCGATGAAGGTCTACTGCCAGTCTTATGGGCCTTCCCTTACTTCTCTGAGCCTTACATCACCAATATGGCACCAGAGATCAAAATGCATGATTATCAGGTATTGTTATAATTTATTTTTACAAACCTTTCTAATTTTTCTAGTTTAACCTGTTATTGCATATAAATTACCTATTCAAAACCATTAAATGACTCCTATCATATTTTAACTCTATTTCAGATTGAATACACAAACCACAAGAAATTCATAAACAAGATGAAGGACGGTAGGAAATTCGTGTCACCAATCCGATTTTTTACAAACATGCCACTACGGACCATTGACCTATCTAACGACAGTAACTATAAGATGTGTAATAAATGTAAATTCTACGTCGCATCTTCAAATAATCACTGTCACAAGTGTGGTTCATGTACAAGTAAGAACGGAATGACATACAAACATTGCGATGTGTGCAAGAGGTGTGTGAAGCCTACTTTCTTCCATTGCAAAGAGTGTGAGATGTGTTGCCAGGAACGGAATCATGTGTGCGGTGTTGTTGTTGAAAGCCAGGTAAGAATAGAAATTGTCTTATAAAATTTAGTTAAATTTTTAACAAATTAAAAAAATCTTTATGCAAAGTGCAAACGATTGTTACTTACTGGTATAAAATTGTACCATACTTTTGCTATTTATTAGTTTCATTTTAAATCATTCACTTCTGTCTACTTTTTAATTAATTTCAAGTGTTATCTTTTTTATATGTGATGTGATGTCTTATGTCAAATTAAATGGTTAATTATTATTTGTTCTCTATTTGCAGTCGTGCTTCAACTGCAAACAGAAAGGACACAAGCAGTCAGACTGCCCGCAGCTACAGGTACAAAATAAGATGAAACGAAAAAGTGCATGATTGATAATTAAAATCACTATAATCTTATATTTACAATAAATCACTATAAAAACACTATTAATTGTTTCATTTTCACACTTTCGTCAAATCAACATGATCGGGTAATAATCAGAAAACATAGCATACAAATATTTGTAAATAAATCAAAATGTTTAGTAAATTCAGCCAGCTCTAGCTAACAACGATGTTTAGATGGCACTGAAAACAAAAGAATTCTTTGTTAGTCCACTGAATACACAATCACAAATATTTAATGGCATTTAAAATACTTCAAAACAACCCAGGGTAGGAAAATGTCTCAATTTCGTTTATTTTGGTTAGGCCAGACTACCAAATAATATATTTGTTGCATTTTTTTTAGTGAATAGGAATTACTTCCTATTGCATTCTTGTTATATTTTATTCTTATGGTCTTTTTTTTAAGGGGGGAAAATCATCGAATGAAGGCTTCCGCCTGGGTGAGGCGGAAGGGAGTGTCAGACTCTTACTGACTAAAAACCACCCCGTTCCTTCTCCTGCACGTCGAGCCGGAGCCCCGGTTACCCGTTAGGTTCTCCGCGACATTCTTATGGTCTATAAAGCTATGGACAATATAAATACAAATCCAAGTACATACTTGACATTCATCTTGTTGAGGACTTGCTGCGTGTTCTCATAGCGTGCCTCTACTTTAGTAGCTTGTTCCAGCCAGGCCTGTCGCACTGCCACCCAACGAGATGAGTGAGAAGCTAGGAGCTGCTCCTTCGTCGGTGGTGGGGCTTCACGCTGGAAGTAAATTAATTAATTTGTTAAAAATTGTTGTAAGCAGTTGCAGTTATCACCAGAAACACTCATGGCAATCCTATCCTATATAAATATAAATGGCTCTCACAATAACAATACTAAATCTAATAAGTTGGTAATTGTATAATTGAATAATCAAACAAACTTTGTAAAAGCATAATAAGAGTTGTAAACTTACATAATTCAAGTTGATATTATTTTTGTCGGCCTTCAGTTGCTCGGGTAACAAGGGGGGTATTTTAGACACATGTGGCCCTTCCGGTCCAGGCAGCTCCAAGTTTTCTGATGATGATGATTGGGATTCTTCCCTTTTCCTGGAAAAATAGTAACCATTTTAGATGTCAAAGGAATATGTTTGAGAAAACATTTCAGTAGTTTCTAAGTCATCAACAGCCTATAAATGCCTAATTCTGAGCAAAGCCTCTTTTCACACGGAGAAGGTTTGAGCATTATCATAATCACTATGCTTGCTCGATGTGGGTTGGCGATTTCAAACTTATAATTAGAAATTATAAGCCCAGGTTTTCTTTCACTATTTGTCAGTGATGTCTAAATAATCTTAGAAAGTACAGATAACTTGGAAAAAGTCACAGGTACTTGCCAATGGTAGGTTTCGAACCCACATGTCTTCGTATAGGATTAAAACAGTTTTTTATATAACTAAACACTAATTGTGAGGTATAAAACAATAATATAACTAATTTATCAGATATGGGACTGAATATTTACTTTGAATTCTAGAATTTGCACAAATATATTCAACATAAAAATCAAAAAGCTCACATAAAAACATCAAAAAGCTTATTATAGTACCCCAAGTAATTAAAAGAAAATGTGTTCCAATATTTCAAACTTACCCAAGTTCACTATAATTAGCTCTTGGCTGGTTAACAATCCAGGCTCTGCAAATAGGGTACAAGGGAGATTCCTCACTGAACTGCGACAGGTCTACACTTCGGTCGAACAGCTTCAGGACATAAGACTGACGGTTTGGAGACCTCTTTCTTCTGTACCTGTCTTCATCATCTGATCTGTAGTCTCGGCTGAAAATTATGATAATTTTCTTAAATGGTAATTTGGGTAACCTTTTATTTCATAAGGGAATATGCAGTTAAACTGTCAAACACCGAGCGGTCACCGGTGACTGCAACCTATTGTTCTTTAATTGTGTCTATAATGACAGTACTTATGTAATAAAAGGTAAAGTTCTTGTTAAAACTGGACCCTATAGTAAGATCTTGTGTTAAAAATTAAAATCTCAGTTTTTACTTAAATCTAACTAGATGTAAGTAAAAACGGGAAGGAAAGTCATTTGTTAATTAAGCAGTTTAGTACATAATTATGTTGAGTTTAACTATTGATATTTATAATTTTAGATCTAATAATAATTTTAATTGAGTATTTTTTCATAGAAATTACCACATGGGCAACATTTACCTGTCTCTTTTCTCTGGAGCATAATCTGATGATGCATCAGAATTATTGTCTGCTGATGGATCCAGTACATCCATCAAGGCTCCTTTCAGCCTCCCACGAGCTGTAGCCACTTCTACAACAATAATAGTAAATAATAAGCATTTAACATTATGAAGCTTTCTTTTTAAGTAATAAGCAATTTCAATGTCATTTCTTAAAATACCAGTTCTAAAATGTATGAGTGACAGTTTATGAATATAAATGATGAATCACGCTGCTGGTGCATTTTAACATTAGATAAACACTATTATTAAAGCTTCCGTAAAATTAAATAAATAAATTAAAATTGTGAATAAACAACGGCTCATTAATATCAACAAATTAGTAAGTTTTAACTCGTCACCCACCTCTGGCATCGTTACTGTGTGGCGATTTTGCTGATCTATTTTTCAATGGTGTAAATAATCTCCTTCTTTTAGGCATTGTGCTTAATTAAAACAGTTAAATACTATAAATCTAAACAAAACAATCACGACTAATTTCGAATTCGTTTTTCAAGTTTCATTGACGCTGTCACCCGTCCCTGTCACAATGACAGCGACAGACGGACGACTGTTACTAGAATATTAAGACCATTGCACCAGCACTTTTTAACGCAGGCAACCTAACTAGAGTGGTACCTAACATACTAATATCGGTTTTTAAATAAAACTGATGGTTGCAACAACTGAATTCTTATTCGCATCACTACCAAAGAAAAAAAATCATTCGTCTTTTTGTCAATTGTCAAAATAGTTGTGTACGAAAATAGCGAAACGAGAATTTCGCAAGGCCTACCTTCCAGGTTGTGTTTTAATTTATAATAATTCATCCTAATAAATCGATGATTTATAATGGCCACAACAGCGTATGAGCATGATGCTGATGGTAAGCTTTCTTTGTTTTTTCTAATAAGTTCATAGCGTTTGTTTATTTTATTAGAAATTTTGCAGCATATAACTAAAGTGCGTGATGATATTTGTCTGACTTTCCTTGTTTTCGTGCGGTCGATGAACAACTGCTAAGTCAGTGAAAGTTTGCTGTGCAAATGTTTCAAATGATAAATTATTAAACTGTATGATGCGTCAATTATAACATTCCTGTCGTTTTTGCTTAGTAGCATCATTAACTACACACTTCGCCATACCATCCGCTGCTCTTGAGTCCTCAGGGAAGGTATAGAGGACTGTATTCAAAACTTTTATTTATCATCTGTTTTGACTCTTTAGTTAATGGTAAGTGCTGAATTTGTTGTTTCTCAATTTCAGGCTGTAAGTTTATCCCCGCGACGCAACGTCCTGACGGTACCTGGCGGAAGCCTCGGCGGATCAAGGATGGATATGTTCCTCAAGAGGAAGTCCCCCTATATGAGAGCAAAGGCAAACAGTTCAAGGCTCGTCAGAATACAGGGCTTCCAGTGGGGCTGCCCCCTGAGGTAGCAGCCCAGGCACAGAAGAAGAAGAACAACCCTGGTGTCATTCAGCCTATCCCAGGCTTGCTCATCAATGTTGACAAAAAGAAGAAGAAAAAGAAGTCAGGTTGGTGTACTTTCTCTATGGTTTTCTGATAAAAACTTTTTGAGTGTGTATTACAATACCAATGTATTATTATATATACTTATTAATTTACAACTAAAATTATTATAATACTCAGCTATGTTAAATTGCTTTCATAATTTTATATTGGAACATATCCAATGATTTATTTATTATACAAGATAGCTAATAGTGATACACATTCAAGTGTGTTCTTATCTAAAAAAGGCATAACTAACTGTTAGCTGTTACTGATAAGTTGAAAATACATATAATATAACAGGTATAATATAATAACTTGTTGAGCTTGGTAATTAAAATAAAAAAATAAAAGTGCATTATCTAATTAGAATGCTGATCATGAATTAGTCTTTCACTTTCTCTGTGGTTATGCAAAAAAGAAACTTGTATAGAATTGTTAATTAGATTTAAAAAGTTATAGGATCAACTTGATTCTGCATAGGCTAGTTTTTTTTTATAAAAGGAGAATACAATCCGTATATTCAAGGATTATATTGACAATTTTCCAAAGAACTTAAATGTAAAAAAATTTTAATGATGTCCAATTATTATTTTTCAGGTGCTGATGAAGCAGCAGAGAAACTTGCCAAATGTGAGATAACTGAGCCCAACTTCTCTACCCCCTCTCCTTCAACCCCCACCAACTCTGCCACAGACCCAGTGAAACGTCTCAAGAACTTAAGAAAGAAACTCAGAGAGATTGAAACTCTTGAGGAAAAGATTAAGAGTGGTCTCCTTAAAACTCCTGATAAGGATCAAAAAGAAAAAATGTCAAAGAAAAATGACATTATCAAAGAAATTGAACTATTAGAGAAAAATAGTGAATAAGTTATACCAAATTGAATTAAATTTTATTGTTGACAAACAATATGTCAATAGATTGCATGAATGTGTTCTCTGAGTGGGTGCAAACTGATGAAAATTTCTTTTATTATAAATTATTTACAAAACATTTTTTGATGTAGTTATTTCTGCAACTCTTCCAATAATATTTTGTGTACCTAGCAAAGCAATTGTGTATGATGTTAAAGGTATCATATAAATAAAAAGACTTACATATTGAAAATCATAAACAAATATTTAATAAAATTTAAATTCTAAATTCGAGATTAAATTTTACAAAAATAAAGATAAAAATACAGCCTGCCCAATCTCGGAGATGTATCTAATAATAGAAGTTATATTATCACATATTGAAGGTAGGGCTTTGTCTATTTTCAGACAGAACATCAGGTATGTACCATCCATGAACAATGAAGCTAATGAAAGGTAATTTACATAACAAGTCAAAGATATTATATTCAAAGGTTTTCTATATACTATAATGATACTTGATAAAATACTCCTTAGTCTATGCAGCCATGTATATTTTGTTTGAAAATAGATCCTCTTATACAAAAAATATACTTACATTCTACAATTGCTACATATTTGGATAGCCTTATAATGATAATGATGATAATAATTAGAAATACACTTCCCTCTACAATTCATAACCATTCATACAAATTAACGTATCATGATTTAATGCGAAATTTATTTGAACAGTTTGGTTTTTATTTGTTTTGTTACAAGTTATTTCATCACATATTTCCATTTTCAGTGCTTGCATGTCTGTAAAATAAAGAAAGATATTATTAGACACATTTTCCACGCGTGTTAAAGGTACTGCGCGTTATTGGGCAAGATAATAATTAAATTGATATCGTTACACAAGGACGCATAAACCGGTTTCGATGATTTCTCTACTTACTACTGACTACACATGTGTTTTATGATACTAATAGACCTACCTTGAATTAACTCACCAGTAGTTTAAATGAACTCATTTCTGGCTTGTTGTCTCGCATATTTGCCTAAACATGCAAGAATCCCAATACCAGCAATTCCAAGTCCTAAAACTGTTGCCAAAAAGTCGCCGAAATCGTAGCCTTGTGCTGCTTCGACATTTGTTACTGTCAGCAGTGTAAATAGAAATACGCACAGTTTGAAATTCATTGTTGAAGATTTGAAGAAATTATTTTAGAATTTTTCTCGCAATTTTCGTTTTGTGTTGGTACTTTTTTTTTCTTTTTGTCACGTCATGCACGACTGATGTCAAACTCAAAATGTCATCTGATTTTAGGGTTGGGATTCGGTTAGTTGTTTTGTGTTGCATTAATTGCATAATAATGCAGTTACTGACTAAAACTATAATGTTATGAAATACTTATTATCAATTTCTGTACCTGAAAAGTTTAATTTGAAACTGAAATACAATTAAAGTTTTATAAATTAGCCAAACGTGAAAAAGAAGTTCCATAATACGTAAAAAATAGTCATCGGTTTTACGCTCGCAAACATTTTGATACTTTGCAACATTCCTTATTAGTTGTCAACAAACGCTATTAATGTCATTTTCGTTTTCCCGTTGGGGCTGATAGATTCTTATTGTTTTTATTACAAAATAACGAATATAATCCATTTAAATAAGAAATAATGAGTACTTAAATGGACTAATGTAATCTTGTAGCGGAACATTAGTGAAAGACTTAGTAATAAACATTAATAAATAACCTTAAGGTGGTAATGAAAATAGATCCCCTGCGGGGTGTTTTTATTGATAATTAATAGTCTTTAGATAATCAAAATGAGTTACAATTCCGGCGGGAGTGGAAGCAAAGGCTTCGGGTTCGCTGGTTTCACGATGCCGAAGCGTAATCCGTCTAATGTGTCGCTTCACGCGGTGCCTCCGCCGACGACTCCGATGCATGCTGTGCCGCCGCCTTCCACCGGCTTGTCGAAGCAAGGCTACTCTACTATGAGCTCAATTACTCAGAATGCAGTTACTGGTAACTGGGGCTCATTGGGGAAGAAGCGATCAAAGACTGAAGATGAGTAAGTTTGAGAAAACTTGAACATTTTTATGTATTATCTCAATTTTAGTTCGTTTTTATTCTTCATAGTATATAATTTATGAAACTATTATTGGTTAGAAGTACACATGAAAACTGTTTTCTTTATATGTCATTATTTATTGATTTCAATTGCTATTCAGATATTTTGATGAGGATGACGAGCCACCAACACCAGCGCTGGCATACATCCCTGCTCCTGGAAGCCCTACATATGAAGCTGGATCCAGTTCTAAGGTACAGGGCGATCCTACAATTTATAAGAAACATTACAATGTAGCATAGTGTTTCTTAAATCTCAAATCGCTAAATGATATTGCTAATAGCAAGGTTAATGTGTGAATACTTCGTACAAATACAACTCATTTTGTAGCACCCAAATGTTTGTTTAAGTATAATTTCCAAATGACTTGTCATATTTGTTACTATAATAGAACAAAATTTAATTTTGTATAAATCTAAATTAGGCTTCAAAGTTAACATAATTGGGAATATCAAATCTAATTAGGTCTATTAAAATCTGTGATTTTATTTAATCTAAATATTGATTCTGTTATAGGCACAGGAGGAAGATGAAGAAGATCCCCTGGATGCCTACATGGCTGGATTGGAGCAGCAGGCCGCTAAGGACCTGGTGGCCAGCAAAGAGAATGCAGCCAGTGGGAAGGGAGACAGCGGCAGAGGCACTAGAGGAGACATCGATGAAATGGATGATGAAGAGAGTTATTATAAGTGAGTTGTGGACACCAGGCTAGCTTTTAACAATATGACTCCCTTAAAGTACATTTGTATCAAGTGAATATTCCAAATTGTAAGCTATCTCTGATAGATGGTGAAGGGAATCTAATTAGAATCAATTTGAACTATACATATTTGATTAGTTTTCAAAATTAATCTAAAATCGAGGACATAACATATTGAGTTCACCTTTATTTCAATCTGGACAACAATTGACGTTACTTTTATACATTAACAGATACATGGAAGATAACCCCTTGAATCAGGGTGACGATGGTTCTGACATGGAAATAGAGTATGACGAGGATGGCAACCCTATTGCACCACCAAAGAAGAAGTTCATAGACCCACTACCACCCATAGACCACTCAGAGATTGAGTATGAGCCTTTTGAGAAAAACTTCTACACTCCTCATGAGGACATTGAGAAGTTGACTCCACAGCAAGTCGAGGAGTTGAAAAAGAATTTAGGTGTAAAAGTGAGTGATAAATTGTCTACTAATATATTTTTATATTTTTTTTTTATTTATAGTATTGGTTTAGTTTGGTATGACGCTCTTTCAGCCAGTGGTGGTCTTCTAGCTAAGTAATTATCACAAGGAAATTTAAATTAAATCCTTGATTACCTTCTTTTCAGATATCAGGTCCAGACCCGCCGAAACCAGTAAGCAGTTTCGGTCACTTGGGCTTCGATGAGCAGTTGATGAAGGCAATCCGTCGCTCGGAGTACACACAGCCGACTCCCGTGCAGGCCGCAGGTGTACCCGCCGCGCTGTCTGGCCGGGATCTCATAGGTATGAATGGGTTTTATAATACAAAAGTTTTCCTCTGTAATTAGAAACAAATCACGCTATTGACGTACACTAACATTTCTAATTGTTAATCACGCTATTGAAACTTATAAAAAGTACACATAACATTTTATGTGTATTACAGAATATGTATAGCATCATTTCAAACAGAAACAGTTATACTAATGAAAATTTTTGCAAAACAAATTCATTGACCATTTAATTAATTACATAATAAAATTAATTCATTCATTCATCGTCCGATTGCTCCACCTTCAAGCTAGTCCACATATCAAATATTTATATTAAGTATTTCTCCTTACGTTTTGCAGGTATTGCTCGTACGGGATCTGGTAAGACGGCCGCGTTCCTGTGGCCACTGCTAGTTCACATCATGGACCAGAAGGAACTAGCGCCTGGAGATGGACCCATCGGACTTATTCTGGCACCCACTAGGGAATTGGCGCAACAGGTAAATTCATTCTTAATCTGAATGACTAAGTAAAAGATTTTATAGTATGAAGATGTTTCTTTGCAAAAACTAATGATAGTTAAAATATATACTCAAATTGTGTTTTTGAAACTGTCTGTAAGCAATCTAAAAGATATAGATGATAATAAATGATGGGATCAGGGATATTAAAGTCAAAGTCAAAGTCAAAGCATTTATTTCAATTAAACCATAATTTGGTACTTTCGAAACGTCAACAAATACAAAATGAATAAGCAGAGTTTCTTATCCCGTAGTGATCTAATTAGATGCTTTTGAGAGGTCACAAAAGACACCAATAGCATCCTGTGCTTCCTCCCAAGCACCAAATATTTCCTTAATCAAAGTGACACCGGCGTCAGTTGTGCAATGACCTTTAGTGAAACCATATTGTTGTTGGTGAAAGATAGAATGTTTATTAAAATGATGAAGCAACCGAGACAGCATCAACTTTTCAAAGACTTTGCTGAGAACCGGCAAAACAGACACTGGCCTATAGTTGTTAGGTTTTTTAGTGTCACCACTTTTAAGTTCATAATTTGTTGGTTAGATCTACATGGAGGCGAAACGTTTCGGCAAGGTGTACAACATTAGGTGCGTGTGTTGCTACGGAGGCGGCTCCAAGTGGGAGCAGTGCAAGGCGTTAGAAGGTACAATACAATAATCTCTTAAATCGTTTTCAGTCTTAGTCAGTAATGGTTTGGATTCTCGCACAGAACAATTAATTACGTGATCTATGCAGTTTAGTCCTAGATGTGGCCATGATATGTATATGAACTTGTGTTTGTAAAAAAAATAGAAAAGTCTAGTGTAAAGCAAAGTTTATTAACAAAAAGATATATACTTTTAATGACATGTTTTTTGTTCCAGGTGGTGGGGCAGAAATCATAGTGGGTACTCCCGGTCGTGTGATAGATCTCATCAAGTGTAAGGCGACCAACCTACAACGAGTCACGTACTTAGTGCTCGACGAGGCCGACAGAATGTTTGATATGGGATTCGGTAAGTTCAAAGTAATAATGAACATAAATAATGTAATAATGTATTTGGTAAATATTTGTTAAAAGGAGATTGGCAGGTTTGTATGGAGGTTTTGTACCGCTATAAAATTTTGTATTTGTCATTGTTTTAATCAAGTACATGATCTGAACGATAGATATTTTTATTATGAAGTTTAGAAAAAAATTACATATTTTTAGAACTTGGGGTTCAATAGTTATTTCACTTTGAAAATGTGCAAAAGGTACGTAAAGGCGGTATTACACGTGACATTGCGTATTCGCTTCATTTGTCCGAATATTTGTGGACTACGTACAAATGGCGTCCAAATAGTATCTATAAATGTAATAGCGTGCAAATATACGTATATACATTATATAGCAAATGAAGATGAATAAACCCTCCACACATGGTCTGTCTTGGCCGAACACAACAAATACGCAACGTCAAGTGTAATGCCACCTTTACGCAAAAGTAGTTATTATGACAAATGACAGATGACAGTTAATTGAGAAATGTCAATGTGGACTTATATAATTGGTTCTTTTGTTTACAAACTAAACTCTAAACACTACTCGCTACTCAAGTGACTATGACACTTTGTATTATAAGTAATGATCCTGTTAATTCAGCAAGTATGATGTAACTATAGAGTTTTACAGAGTATGCTTTACAATCATTTTCATTTACTAGGTGCCTACGAAAATGCAAATTAATATTGTGAGCGACTGTCATTGGGTAGAAGGCCTACATTTTGCAGTGGACGTCTTGTGGCGGATATAATAAAACTAATGTCTCACTTCACCTTGAATCTTGCGGAGACGCAAGATTTAATGTGTAAAATCAAGATTCGAGGCAGAGGCCTGATATACAAATAGTCTCAAAGGTTTCAAGTTAATTCGTTTTAAACTTAAGCTTAGCTCTTTGAGAAAGTATTTTTTCTGAAAACTGGTCGCTTAGCACGCGTGTAAAGTTTAATTTCTAATAGTAAATTCATCATCAGTTTCATCATTAACAGTCTTTAAGTCGCCTATGCCGACCGAAGGCCTCTTCTCACTAGATTAGGTTTAAGCATTTATCACTACGCTAGCTTAATGGTGATTTCAAACTCATAATTAGAAATTATAAGCCCAGGTTTCCTCATAATGTTTTCCTTCACCATTGTCAGTGGTGTCTTTGTACTTTCTTAGATTATTAAACTGTCAAACACCAAGCGGTCACCAACCTATTGTTCTATAATTGTGTCCATAATGACGGTCCTTGACGAGTTAAGTAATAAATAAAAAAATATATAACTCGGAAAAAGTCATATCGGTACTTTGCCGTTGGTAGGTTTGGAACCCACACTCTCATGCATGAGAAACAGGCTTCTTAAACCTCCAGGCCACCACAACACAACTAAAGAAATGTAAAATGAAAACGAACATTTTTGCTATAAAACTAAAGCAATCTAAAATAAAGATGGCATTTATTTTATAGATTGTTTACATATAGTTACTAGGTACCTGTTTAAAATAAAACAAATGTATTATTTTGAAATACTTTTATTTCATTTTATTTAGGTTGTTTCTAGGAGTATTTCTGAAAAGTGAGCAGTCGGTGTCATACAGCACACACTTCATTAATTGCTGATATCTGTAAACAAGTAAGATAACTGTAAATAAAGTAAACAAAACTACATTTTTTCCTTTAGTTTCACATGTTATAATAATGTCTGATACCCTATCTTAAAATAGAAAAGATAAAAATAAATATTTGATTACATTATTTGATTTTACAATGTTAAAATGCCTTTAATAGGGTATTCCTATAACACAGATCATAGGAGCTCAAATAGCATGCTAATTAATCAATTATAATTATAACATGAGTATAAACCTATTATAAACCGGTTATATACTCCACATACCTATTGAAGCTCTGACAGCCGATCAACATCTTCTGGCCTCATCTGTTCTACAAACGGCAATGTTAAAGTGAGGCTTAGTCCATGTTTACATAACACCCTACATCCTGATAGTGAACACTATGAGGTGGTATGTCAGGTTGTGGTCTTATAGTTCCAACTCTTGTACAGGCTCTCAACCTGTATGGAACACGATCTTCATCATTGGAAGTAAGCTAAAATAAGTAATATTATTAAAATGTCATATTGACTTAAAATTATATGACAATAGTATATGATTAAATTATGCTTTATTACCTCTGGTGGCTGAATCTAATCAGATACTATACGAGCTAGTTTTTGCTCCTGTTCGTTGGCGCCTTCAATTAAACCCCTGCGTCACCTTATCCTTGCAATGGAACGCCCACATACGACACAGACATGCCCATGACCAGTTTGTTTGCTGGACATACTTTCAGGAACATCCCACTACGTTGCTAATTACAAGCAAGCATGGCAAATATGGTCGGTAGGAGAGATCTAGAATAAAATGATACATTTTAGGTAAATAACACTATGCGCCTTTTATTTAGGCCCAATTCATAACAAGTAGTATATTTAACTTTCAATTCTATATTAAAACTTTATTTTTAAATATTGTTTAAAGTCCGTTCGCATGGTAAATACAAATTAAGTTAAGCAGGGAAACCTATTATTAGCCTTACTAAACTGTAATATCTTTATTTTGTATTATATCATATGTATCGCTGTTGGTTTTCTAAATAAATAAAATAAAATAAAATAAAATAAAATTCAACGTATCACCAGATGAATAAAATGACTTCCAATTTGCACAAACACATCATAACACCGCATTTGAATTTGAAACCATGCTGTTGGTGCGCAGGCGCACTTGACAAATCGTCTTCAACAACAAATGTCAAATATCAGTTCAACCTTGCTATATTCAAGTTTGTGAAAATGTTAATTATCGTTAATAATCCATGTAGACCTTAGAAAATGAAATTAAAATAATGATATTTACTTATAAAAAATGTTTGGAATGGAAAGGAAAATATTTCATTGTTAGATATTAAAATAAACGAGTTTACGAAATAGCGACATTCAATATACTCTGATTTCATGTTTACGCATGGCAACTTTATAAACGTCAATCGCGGTTTGTTTTTATTTAAGGAAACGTTTTGATGATTGCTTCTTATCATTATTGAATATCAGATTTTCTAGAGTTTCCCAAGTTCTAAAAATCTATTAAATATGCTAACATAACGTATTTAGAGGATTCTACCTCTATAGCTGCCCAATTGCCCAAGGCAAAACAATGACAAATCTTGTTTTAGCAAAGCGGTACAAAATCTGCCGTTCGTTCTCCTTTGCATAAAGTTGCACCTGAATTTCATGTTTCTGGACTTATTGTCAGTCCACATTATGTTTGTTACTATGTATAAAGTACATACTTACTTTGTTTAGTGTTATATTTTAGGAACTGAATTCTTGATTTTTGCCTCTGTTCCTCAAGTCGCCTAATTAGGTAATTCCTTATCTATTTGTTCCCAGAGCCGCAAGTCCGCTCAATCTGCAGCCACGTCCGTCCGGACCGGCAGGCGCTGTTGTTCTCGGCGACGTTCCCGCGGCGCGTGGAGCGACTGGCGCGCGACGCGCTGCACGACCCCGTGCGCGTGCAGCACGGCGCCGCCGGGGAGGCCAGCGCGCTCGTCGCGCAACATGTCCGGTCTGGGACCTTCACTTACTACTGTACTATATCACTCCATATGACGTGCTGCACAACCCCGTGCGCGTGCAGCACGGCGCCGCCGGGGAGGCCAGCGCGCTCGTCGCGCAACATGTCCGGTCTGGGGACCTCGATACTATTTCTATTATATCACCCCATACGCTTGGGGTTTCAACGGATTACTGCGATGCGATTTGGCTTCGCGAAAACGATGTCACACAGCAATGAAACTAGGCAACCCAAAGAAAAATTTCATTGCATATAGCATCGTACGACAAAACCCTATTGATCGGCTCTATATATTGATTCATTCGTAGAATTCGGATATTGAACTGTTAATTACTTTCTATTATCCACTATTTAAGGAGATAATTACCCGGAATTAGTAATGAGCTACAATGGCAGTCACTATATCTTTCTACATTTGTTTCAGGATATTCCAAAAACCGGAAGAGAAATGGACGTGGTTACTGAATCATTTGGTCGAATTCCTATCAGCAGGCAGTGTGCTAATATTCGTAACGAAGAAGGTAAATTGAAACTTGTATTATTACTTACATCATAGGTAGTGAATAAAGAACATTTACCACATAATTATTCTATGTTATCTACTTTTAGAACATGAAACAACTTTACTATAGGATCAAAAGACAAATTGTTCACCGATTTTAACAGTACCTTTTTAGTGTAATAGACGTAGAATAAGTAGTAGTACTTTATGTAAATCTTGATATTTTAGTTGGAAGCAGAGCAGACGGCTGCGAACCTGGGCGTGCAGCAGTACGACGCTCTACTCCTGCACGGAGACATGGAGCAAGCTGACAGGAACAAGGTCATCACTGCATTCAAACGGAACGAGAACAACATACTCGTCGCTACAGACGTCGCTGGTAATTTCAACCTTATTTTATTTCATATACAGTTGGTTTTGAAAAATTTTGACAGTTTGTGATTAGTAAAGTAACACTCTGTTTTGATTTGAGACTAATCACGCCAAAACTGATGTTTGAAAGAATCGTTTAATTTACACCTAGTTACCTAGTTTATATTTAAATTAACCTGCGCAGATAACGTTGAAGGATTAATAAAAATAAAATTAAGGGCTCTGGTTGAGTTCGAAACCAGTCGGACATTCCCGCAATATACGAGTAAACGTTGCTAAAATTATCTGAGCATTCTTTGTGTCTTCCCAGCCCGAGGTCTCGACATCCCCCACATTAGGACAGTGATCAACTACACGGTGGCGCGCGACATCGACACTCACACCCACCGCGTCGGCCGCACGGGCCGCGCCGGGGCGCGCGGCGACGCCTACACGCTGCTCGACAGGCACAAGGACAGGGACTTCGCGGGACATCTGCTCAGGAACCTGGAGGGAGTGCAGCAGGTTCGTTGCAGATGGATTAGGAGTTTGGGGATCGTTGGGGATTCAGGGATTGGGGAGATTGGAGAAGGGGAGGGTAATTGGGCCTCCGGTAACCTCACTCACACGACGAAACACAACGCAAGCGTTGCTTCACGTCGGTTTTCTGCTCGGCCGTGGTATCACTCCGGTCGAGCCGGCCCATTCGTGCCGAAGCATGGCTCTCCCACACTTATGCATGCATGCAAAAAAATCGATCAAATCATTGGTATCACTGGATATCACTGGAACAATGAATGGTACAACGATTAATTGATCCAGAAAGAAGTAGGTATATGAATAGTATACTTTTAGACAATATACCTAGTTTTATATTCCTCATAGAAGTATTCTATTTCAACAGGAAGTACCTGAAGATTTGATGCAGCTAGCGATGCAGTCGGCGTGGTTCCGCAAGTCGCGGTTCAAGAAGGGCAAGGGGAAGAACCTTAACGTCGGCGGCTGTGGATTAGGGTATGCCGTCTATGAGATTGCTCGAGTTACAGCTAATGAAGGTCATGAAAAAACAGTTCATATTTAATAATTTTATGTTTTCCCCCCTCAGTTACAAAGAGCGGCCAGGTCTCCCCCCTCCCCGCGAGGACCAGTCCCCCGCGGTGTCGTTGGACAAGTCCCACGGTCCGGCCACCGACAGACTAGCTTCACTTAAAGCTGCATTCCGATCGCAGTATAATCAGGTGCTTGGTTTTATTTATATTATTGTGTATTTGAGAAAAGAGTTATTAGAGATATTGTTGGTAGTTCGAAAGAGACTTGGATTACTGTTTAAAGTCTATGGTTTGACTAATCAGTTAGTTAGTTGAACCATGATATTTCGACATTCGCATTGTACAAATTAAAAAAAAATGTACATACACCTCTGTCTATTGCTCTATGAAACATAATTTCTAATGCAATGTTGCGTTTCCTTCCCCAGTTCACAGCATCAACAGACCACTCCTGGGAACAAACGAGGCCTAGTATCCAGCCCGGGGTCAATGCCCCCGCGGCGCAGGCGGAGGAGAAGGCGGAGGACAAAGCAGAGAGATTGCGTAAGAGTGGGAAACGGAGCCGGTGGGAGTAGAGGGAGTGTAAAAAGAGAGAGAGAGAGTACTATGTCATTAACAAACAGTGGACTTGTGTTTTGGGGAACTGAAAAATATAAGGTACACTACACAAGTTATACATGACCAGTTTATTGTGGCCTCGCTTTTGTTTGATTTGTCCGCATTTTAAACGGTCTGTTTATACTGGTTTTGTATAGCCGTGTGTATGATGAACTTGTGTAATTAATTAGTAAATGGTACATAATGAACTGATATTTGTCTAGAGTGCCTAGAACTTGACGTTTTTAGGTCAGCATTATTATATTACTTTCTCCTAGGGCAGGCGTTACCAAGTGTATAGTTATATGATGGAAGCTAAACAAATATGTAAGTATTGTAGTAGGTGGCACTCTATAGTTTCTACCTACCAGGGACAAAAGCATAAGGCTATTAGTGAAAAACTGAAATCTGGGATTCAGGTTCGGCCGAAACACAGAACTAAGGCTAATTTGTAATTTTCAATTCGATAGATCGAAGTTATCTCGATCTTGGTGCACCATGTCATTGATTGTGAGAATAATCTCGACCAATGACGGACGAGAATGCAATAGCGCTCACTTCGAAAGTTTTATAGGCCATAAAGATTTCGGTTTCGGCTGAAAAATAACTTTCGCTCAGACACTAAAGTTTATGTATGTATAATTGTATATGTATAATATATAAACTAATCGGTCTTAATGATTGGACCAAATTATAAATAAAATGATAGAAAAATGTTATTTATTTAGCTAATACTTACAGTTATTATTCAATATGTCTCCCCAAAACATAATTTCAAAATGATTGTTTTTTAAGAGTTAAATAAAATGAAATCGTTTGGCACTTTGCAAGTGTATTTGAATTCGAAATGTATTTGACTGTGTAGCTGATGAATTTCTTTATAACTCGAACATCACAAATTCTAATATTTACTTCAAAAGTGTGTATTTGGATACAGTAATACCTATAAGTTTTGTAAAATAACACCATCGCGTTACTTACAGATTATTCCTTTTTATTCAGAACTAGCTTCTGCCCGCGACTTCGTACGCGCAATCTCGTTTTCTCCCGTTCCCGTAGGATTTTCAGGACTTTTTCTATCATAAGAACCTTCTCCTGACAATAATAAACACAAAAAAATGAGCCAAATCGGTCTAGCCGTTCTCAAGTTATGGCGTGACAACGGGAAACGGGTTTCATTTTTATATAGACTTTGCTCTTACCTTTTCATAGACAAGGGTTGTTCAATAATTATGCCCCAAATAAATTAAGAAATGAATATCTCGTCTTCTAAGTGTTAGGTGCTCATTTCATCGTCTATGCCCACCCAATTAGGAGATAGGTGTGATCATAAGTGTGTGTGGAGACTCTAACATAGTTCTATAATCTATTGAGTCAAAAAGATACTTAACTTTGACATACTTGTAAAACATATTACTTACTTGTATAATAGTAATTAACTGAATTCATCTTTAAAATTATAAAATGTATACAAATAAAAAAATTAATTACCCATTTTTTAATTATTGTAACTATTTAGATTATTATAATTGCTATGGGTATTACTGTATTCTATATGTATTTTGTAATTGTGTTCACATGTTTGCACCAAAATTTTGTTCATAATATTGCCGTCTTCTTCGCACTTCAAGGACTTGCTAAAATAGAAATTAATAATTGTCAATTTTATGTGCAATATAATTTTGTATCTAAATGCATGTGGTTACGGACCAAATTGCAGCAGCAGTTTCGTGCTCTTAAAGACTGGCCTAAAGTAAATCGCAAATGTTATTACGCAGTAATTTGATCTAGCTCTTTGAAATAAGGTCTATTTTTGCATGAGTTTCGTGGTTTTCCGCTGTCCTTGTTATACAGTGCGTGTTAGAACAAGATAACAATATTTTTATGTTCAGAGATGAAATTCGTCATGCAATGTTAGTCATCAGTGGATAAATAATAATTTTACCTACGTTGGGGCTCCGGAACTGGCGATTATATAAGCGGAATTGCAGACAGCGATTATAGAACTATTGTTAATATATTTTTAAATAATAGTACGAATTAATAATGAGAATTATGTGTATTTTAAAATAAATGTTATTGATTTGTTAGTGTAAATGGTAAAATTATTGAATACCTGTGTTCTGTTTTGCTCTTTCCGCTTAAATATTCGCTTATTTCAGAGCCAGTTTTCGGCACAATGTGTAAAAATGTATTCTATTGTATAGTGTGAAGGTTGATATTTGTTTACTCACTATAACGACATATGGTTTTACTATATTAACTAAGATACTTGTTTATTTCTTATAGCATTTAAATAAGAAAACAGTTTCGCCAAGTTTCAAGTGCAATTCCCGTACTAGCAAAATATTTTTACGGAAATAAATATTGTTATACAATTTTATATATTTTAATTCATTAATGCGTAATGTAATAGTGCAATTAGACGAATATTATTAATGATACTACGAAATTTAACGCCAATTTGCATCGAAATCAGTATAAATGTTATGAAATATAATTCATTTTATTATTGTATATTTAAATTATTGTACAGTGGCCTTATAAGAAAGCTTTCATTATTCCAATGTACATAAATTAAATAGGTATTTATTATATGTAATTTCTAGATAATTCTTTACTTCTAATGTAACCAGAGGAGTCACAGGTGCGTTGCCGGCCGTTTAAAAAGGAATATGCTCTTTTATTGAAGGTTTGAAGGTCGTATCGGTTCGGAAATATTACCGACGATAGATCATTCCAGTTTTGCTATGTGAGCCAGAAAATTTCAGGAAAAGTTGTGACCTGCCAACCATCTATTGGACACCTATTTCTTAATGAAAGAATGAATGAATTGAAAAATGTGTCTTACTCACATGAAGTAATGAAGAAAATTGTACTATATAGTTTCAAGTTACACCGGAACTTTTTTCTGAGTAGCGTGCGCGATACGTAGTGTTTGCTTTCCGGTATGACTTGAATCTAGTCGAGCGTAGTAGTCGATATAAAATGTCAAGTGATGATGTCATGTTATGTTTTAACAAATAGTATACCTAATACGGGAATCTATCCTTACTATAATATTATAAATCGGAAAGTGAGTTTGTTTGTTTGTTCCCCTTTCACGCCGTAACTACTAAACCGATTGTTTTGAATTTTTGCAGACGTAAAGTTAAAAGTCTGGATTAAATAATAGGGTACTTTTTATCCCAGAAAAATTTGATATTCTCGAGGAAAAACGAAATCATTGGTATAGATGGCGCTGTGTGTATATGTCACTTTTTACCCTTTTGTGATGCGAGCGAAGCCGCGGGTAAAAGCTAGTGAATTATAAACTAAGGGCCGATTTTTCAATAATTAGATATTTGACAGTTTTTAGAAAATTGTTAAATATTCTAAGTTATTCCTCCGATAAAATCGACCTTAAAATTATAATTATCTTAAAGATGTTATCTTTAACTGCAAAGTATCTAGTATTTATTAAAAGTAAATAAACAAGTATCATTAGTTAACGCGATTTGTTTGTCAGTCAGCACATAATACATTGTTTTATTTTAAAGTGTAAATAGAAATAAAGTGCTATTTAACGAAAGTGAACTTTATTGTGTTTTAATAAAACTCATAACATATGTTACCTTATTAAGGTTTAGCGTAGATTTTTCTTATGTGATTCATAGCCCATAAATGCGAGTGCGCGGTACACTGCACTCACGACCGTTAGTTTAAAAAATATTTATTAACATTTTATTCAGATATTGGTATTTTCAGTGATATCATTACACTCAACATAATTATGCTGAAATAAATAATAATAAATAAATAATAATATATAATGCATAAATTTGAGGTCGCGCTTATGTATAGTGCTGTCGCTACAAATTCTTTGTAAAATGACATAGATGGCACGATATTTAAGTATTACTTAAAATTTGGGTAGTCTTACAGTATTCGAGTGAGAAAAAATGGTTTGCTGGTCGCCTCGCGTGGCGGTCCTATACGACGTCGATTCATCAACAGCCTATAAATGCCCACTGCTGAGCAAAGCCTCTTCTCACACTGAGAAGGTTAGAGCGTTAATCACCACGCTTGCTCAATGCGGGTTGGTGATTTCAAACTTATAATTAGAAATTATAAGTCCAGGTTTCCTAACGATGTTTTTCCTTCACCGTTTGTCAGTGGTGTCTAAATAATCTTAGAAAGTACATATAACTCGGAAAAAGTCACATTGGTACTTGCTGTTGATAAGTTTAGAACCCGCAGTCTCATGCATGAGAAGTGGGCGTCTTAAACCTCCGGGTCACCACGACGTCGATTATGTCAGCAGAATGAAAAACGTGATATTATGCCATTATGCCATATAAAACCAGAAAATCTATATTTAAACACCCCCTAATAGCCTACACATAACTAAAACACCTACACATATGTAAACACCACAAAACAATACCGTTCAATTTGCAGATAATCACAAAACTTGTATAGTTCAGTAGATTTCCAGATTACAGCAGAGATGGATTTAACAGTTTTTTTCAACTGACGTTGGTAAAGCTAAGAATACAAATGTCCTGGGACTTTAGGTGGTGTAGCGCGACGTTTTGCGGGGCTTTGCTCGACATATCTGGCAACATCAACGTCGCTGTGGACATAAGGCGCGCGTTGTCGCCCTACAATATGTCGGGCGAAATCGGCAGGCTTCGATTGACCTGTGGCCGATACATATTTGTTACCTATTGTATCCTTGAAGGCTTGAAAGCGCTTAGCCTTTCCGGTAGAAAGATTATGGAGTGTGGGATTTATACCTCACTAAAAACACCCTGGTGGCCACCATCAGCACCTTTAGGGTACACCAGGTCCTCTAACAGAGAGGCTAAAACATAGAGAGCGCCGTAACCACCTCATAGGCGCCAGAAATTGTATTTTTGTGCCGCCGCCATTATATGGGCAGTTAATCACACACGTTTCACGGCGCCCATCTGTTACCTGGCGCCTTAGGCACTAGTCTAGTTTGCCTTAGAGATAATACGGCTCTGTTTTACAGTAGATTATAGCTCATCTATCACCCCCGTGCGTGCCAGCAAACAGTTTGCAGAATAAATTAAAACTTAGCCAACGATTATCGCCTCGCGATTACTATAAAAGCGCTCTTTATCGCGGGGTACCAGGTTCTTATACTGATTGTAATAGCATGCAATTTGCAAAGTGTTTGAATAAATTGTAGCTTGTGGATTTTTGATGCTTTGTAATCAGTAATTCAGTGGTATGATCGTCGAGTGGTTGTGATTGCGACTGGTAAGTTAGAGGTGGAAAGAGTATTATAGACTTGATTTTTGAAGTAGTTTTGAATCTAGAATTTTTGCGAGGCTTTGTTATAGGTTTTTTTTTATATTAGATGGGACTGACGTTTGTTTGGTGATTTTTTTTCATGTGTTTTTCATAGTGTGAGTCAGGTTACGGGAGGCCCAATTACCCTTCCCCTTCTCCAATCTCCCCAATCCCTGAATCCCCAAAACGCACCTGGTTTTAACGCCTCTGGTGTTCCAGATGTCCATGGGCGACGCCGATTACTTACCATCAGGTTATCCGTCTGCTCGTTTACCGCACCTCAGGTGCTGATTATTGTTGACTCCAAAAAATACTTGGGAAAAGGTAAAGTAACAGATAGCAGGAAATAAAATGTTACATAATATGCAGGTAATATTATATAGATGCACAATAGGTACCTACGGGCCTTAGTACATACATTCCCACACCACTGTGAACTCTCAATGAGAAACAGATAATAATATATGTTGTACGAGTAGTATAACACTTATGAACAGTAGATAGTAGTACCTATTGAACAGGCACAAATCAACAATAAGGAAATTCTGAATAGAAGAAGAAATATGAAAAATCCCTCAACCATTACCATTCACAAAGAGCACGAGTAACCTGGTACAAGGCTTTACATAACTCAAAGCAGAGGACTACAATACAATAGTTACAAGTAGGTGGGTACTTACCTATCTGGGTAGAAAGTACATAGAATGTTATGTATGAAAGAGTAAAGACGTTCGGTCACAGCTCTCATTACTTCAGAAACTTATTCATACTAC